TCCCCCAGCACGAATACACATGCCGATTACGTACAATTGACAACTCACAGATCGGTTAAAAACATATCGAAATAAGTCAATAAACCTAAAGCGGACGAGACACCTCTCGAAAGAGTGTCCGGATTTCTCGGATAAAAAATAAATAAATAACAACCACCATTGGTGGGGGGAACTGAAATCTTTGGGCGAGGTCATTGCCCCCCCCCTTCCCCCCACCCCCACCCCCCATCCCACGCCAATTCGTGTCTCTATAATTCCCTTAGTCCCCTGTAATTAACGCTCCACTCACCGCAATTACAGGTGGAATCGTTTCATAATCGCCCGACTTGCAAGGGAATGCGGCTTTGTTTGTTTAGTGTGAATCATTCTTCCCTTCGTTCATCGGAGATTAAATATGTACAACGAGAATAAACGAGCGGCAGATGTGTTAGAGATGCTGCCGTGGTGAGATGATGGTGGTGGTGGTGGTTGGTGGTGGGTGGTGGTGGTTGTGGTGGTGGTTGGTGGTGGTGGTGATGGTGGTTGGTGGTGGTGGTGGGTGGTGGTGGTTGGTGGGTGGTGGTGGTTGGTGGTGGTGGTTGGTAGTGGTGGTTGGTGGTGGTGGTTGGTGGTGGTGGTGGTTGGTGGTGGTGGTGGGTGGTTGGTGGTGGTGGTTGGTGGTGGTGGTTGGTAGTGGTGGTGGTGGTTGGTGGTGGTTGGTGGTGGTGGTTGGTGGTGGTGGTGGGTGGTGGTGGTTGGTGGGTGGTGGTGGTTGGTGGTGGTGGTTGGTGGTGGTGGTGGTGATTGGTAGTGGTGGTGGGTGGTAGTGGTGGTGGTGGTTGGTGGTTGGTGGTGGTGGTGGTTGGTGGTGGTTGGTGGTGGTGGTTGGTGGTGGTGGTGGTGGTGGTGGGTGGTGGTGGTGGTGGGTGGTGGTGGTTGGTGGTGGTTGGTGGTGGTGGTGGTGGTGGTGGTTGGTGGTGGTGGTGGTGGTGGTGGTGGTTGGTGGTGGTTGGTGGTGGTGGGTGGTTGGTGGTTGGTGGTGGTTGGTGGTGGTGGTTGGTGGTGGTTGGTGGTGGTGGGTGGTTGGTGGTGGTGGTGGTTGGTGGTGGTTGGTGGTGGTGGGTGGTGGTTGGTGGTTGGTGGTGGTGGTGGTTGGTGGTTGTTGGTGGTGGTTGGTGGTTGGTTGTGGTTGGTGGTTGGTGGTTGTTGGTGGTGATTGGTGGTTGGTGGTTGGTTGTGGTTGGTGGTTGGTGGTTGTTGGTGGTGATTGGTGGTTGGTGGTGGTTGGTGGTTGGTGGTTGTTGGTGGTGGTTGGTGGTGGTGGTTGGTGGTTGGTGGTTGTTGGTGGTGGTTGGTGGTTGGTTGTGGTGGTTGTGTGGTGGTGGTGGTTGGTGGTGGTGGTGGGTGGTGGTGGTTGGTGGTGGTGGTGGTGGTTGGTGGTGGTGGTTGGTGGTGGTGGTGGTTGATTGGTGGTGGTGGTGGTGGTTGGTGGTGGTGGTGGTTGGTGGTGGTGGTGGTTGGTGGTGGTGGTGGTGGTTGGTGGTGGTTGGTGGTGGTGGTGGTGGTTGGTGGTGGTGGTGGTTGGTGGTGGTGGTTGATGGTGGTGGTTGGTGGTGGTGGTTGGTGGTGGTCGTATGTGCAGTCTTTAAGGGGGAGCGGTAGTGTAGCGGTTAGCGCTACGCTGCGCTACGAACCTGGCGACCCAGGTTCGATTCCCGCTCACGGCCAACACCAGTGACGATCATCTGAACCGGTCGACTCAGCCTCAAATGAGTATCTGGTGCGATGTGTAAGCATCGCTACTAGGGAGACAAAGGCGGCCGGGCGTGGTGGTGCTGGCCTTTATAGGTGCTCGCTAACAGCACTTGCCCCTACAGTCTGTTAAGGCTATACAGGGGATCTTTGTCTTTGTGTTATGTATTGCTTCGTGTGCCGTGCTGACCTTTATAGGTGCTCGCAAACAGCACTTGCCCCTACAGCCTGTTAAGGCTATACAGGGGATCTTTGTCTTTGTGTGCAGTCCTTAAGGGGGGGGAGTGAATAGTACGCGCAGCTGCATTGTCCATGGCATGCAAGTCGCATGGCACAATGAGCGGTGTGAGCTGTGTGTTGAGAACGCACGCGTGGGAGTCAGACGGGGGAGCACTGCGAGAGAAAAAGCCACGCGTGCCCGAGAGAGGGTGCAACGCTCGATCACGCCGCGCCGATGAAGAGGGACAGACGCATCGAGTCAACACTTTTGCCCGTTTTTAAATCCTTTATATTAAGTTCGCTTGCTTGCTTGCTTAGGACCGTGCAAATCTTTGAGTCGTTTTTTAACCCACTTCCCGTGATCCAATCGAGCTGACATTTTGCACACAGACTCGTTGTGCGTGACAATGCATTTTCGTGAAATTTTTTCCCAAAATTTTACACTGTTTAGGGATGAATAAATAAATATTTAATTACCAATTGTTTAATGCTTCCAGACAATCATCTGACCCATAGGTGGCAGCCATCTCAAGCCAGAGGACGAGAGGACTCTCGCCGCCTCCTTCTCCCCCGCACATCGCCTCTGTCCACCCAGCAGAATATATACCTACTTGGGCAGCCCACAGTCACGTGTCAGTGCGGTTATAGCGTTAGTACTCCAGCGTAGAAGAGTAGGCCAAATACCTATGGGAGGAGTGGGGGGCCTTTCTGGCAGCAGCGGCACGGGGCCGGAAATTGCGGGGCTGCGCCTCGACTCACACACCCGTACCGCTGTCAGGAGTCGCCTTTTTATAGACTCAGATGAGAGATTGAATATTTTCTTTTATAGATTTTTTATTAACTTTTTTTTTGTTTTGGAATAAACGACCGCGCCTCTCCCTCGGGGGCTTCGGGAGTTCCACAGCCGTTGCACAACCGAGCTCGACTGCTCTAACCGGGGGGAAGGGGGGTCCGCGTGATAATCGCGACACGCAGGCGAGCCGGTCCGGCGAGGGGGTCCTCCAACACTCCGCCGCTGAGAGGGCGAGAGAGAGACTTTGACTTTTAAACAACTTTTATTGCCGCCAGCAGCAAAAGCACTGGAGGCGATTTCAATATGAAATACACAAAGTCACCAGCAACACAAAAGAAAACAAACGCTACAAATCCACGCGCTGTGGCGCTGAAAGGACCGCGCACAACACGAAAGAAAAGTCACGTGGTGGTAGTGGTTGTGGTGGTGGTGGTTGTGGTGTGGTGATGGTGGCTGTGGTGGTGGTTGTGGTGGTGGTTGTGGTGGTGGTTGTGGTGGTGGTGGTGTTCATCGCGCACGCCACGGTGACGAGCGAGCGCTTCAGAAGGTGAACACCACGAGGGTGCCGTCCACGCTGGTGCAGAGAGGGGCCTTTCCGGCTCCCCAGCGTTCGAAGAAGACGCGCTGCACATCACCAACGTGTGTGTGGTACATGGCGTGCTCCAGCCGGAGCCGCGCCTTAGAGAGAGAAACGTGCGCTGGCGAGGCCACGAGTGTCCACGACCCAAGGGAGCTGTTGGCTTCGTTTGGTTGGGAAGGACACCTGGAGAGAGACAGAATAAGACCCCAGCACCCTGCTGCTGCTGCTGTATTGCCATCATATCTCGCGGCAGCCCCGACAACACCCTGGGGGGAGCGGTGGTCACCCATCCGAGTGCGAACCGGGCACGTGATCTGCTTGAGGCTGGGTCTGGTCAGAACAAATACAAAGATCCCCCGTATAGCCTGCAGAAGACTGTTGGGGCAAGTGCTGTTAGCGAGCACCTACGAAGGCCGGCACGGTACACGAGGGGGTGGGTGGCCAGGACCACGCCCGGCCGCCTTTGTCTCCCCAGTGGCGATGTTTACACACCGCACCAGGTACTCATTTGAGGCTGAGTCGACCACATATACACAGCTACACACACACACACACATTGGCCAGTCCCGTCGAACCACACCTACCCGAACACACCTATACCTCGAAGCACAATGGCACACGCAGGCACACCGACACACGTATCAAACAAAGACCAACTGCTTGCTTCGCCTTATAACCCGTTGTGGTATGATGTGCTGTTAACACGCACACACACGCACGCGTGGACTGTTGGAGAAAGTGTTGCTAGCGAGCAACATATTTTGGTCGGGGTTTGAACTCCGTCTGCAGGAATCGTTCAAATAGGACGGGAACTTCTACGCCACCGCCCCTCACTATTCAGACACATAGACACACATAGACATACATAGACACAGAGACATACATAGACACACATAGACATACATAGACACACACATAGACACACATAGACATACACAGACACACACATAGACACACAGAGACACACAGAGACATACATAGACACACATAGACATACATAGACACACAGAGACATACATAGACACACAGACACACAGAGACATACATAGACACACAGAGACATACATAGACACACATAGACACACAGAGACACACATAGACACACATAGACACAGAGATATACATAGACATACAGACACACAGACATACATACATAGACACACAGAGACACACATAGACATACACAGACACACATAGACATACATAGACATACACAGACACACATAGACACACACTAGACACGCATAGACACGCATATACATACATGGACACACATGGACACACATAGACATACAGACATACATAAACATACATACATAGACACACATAGACACACACCAAAGACAAAAATCTCCCGTGTAGCCTTAACATACTTTTGGCGCAAGTGCTGTTAGCGAGCACCTATGAAGGCCGACACGTCACACGAGGGGGTGGCTGGCCAGCACCAAACCCGGCCGCCTTTGTCTCCCCAGTGGCGATGTTTACTACACACCGCGTCAGGTACCCATTTTAGGCCGAGTCGACCTAGGGGGAGGCCCAGGAACCTGTTCAGCCGGTGTTGGCCATGAGCGAGAATCGATCTAGGGTGGCCGAGTTCGTAGTGCTGTGCGCTAACCACTGCGCCACCGCTCCCCACAAACGACGATCACACACAGAGTGTCTACGACACGTTCACACTGCAGGCGTTAAGCAAGGATGTTTATTGTTCATATCCAGGTATAGCAAAGATATAATAATAATAATGATAATAGCAAGGCCACATATCGTAACGTGTTAAGTGTAAACTATCAGTGTCCATACACAGTGTTTGCTGGGACCGGCCCATGGTATGTAACAACAACAATAATAACATCACAATCATAGCAATCACCACCACCACCGTCATCATCACGATCATAATTGGATCCTTTACAAAAAAACATATATAGGGCGATCCGTTTATAGATACCCTACCGATGTCTATTAAACATTTATGAGATGCGTGAACTGATTGAGATGGGGGGGGGGGGGAAGAGACTGGTAACGGAACGCTTTGATTCGGAATGTATTCATCCACGGTGGGGTATCTGTAAATGGACCGCCGTGTATTGTTTTGCACGTTATCCATTTGCTGCCGGCAACGGGCGATCCACTTACAGACACCCCACCGAATTTCGAAAGACCTCCTTCTCAATGGCCACGTGTGGACACCCTTGATAGCGGATGTCTCCCGCCGAGCAGAGGGGCGTGTTGAGATTACTGGCGGTCAAAGCACGTCGTTGTCATCAGCCGTGGTCAATCCACTGCTGGATGAAGGCCTCTGGGAGGTTTGGGGTATCTATAAATGGATCGCCGTGCACGTTCACGCACGACCAAGGCAGCAGCTGGCTCTCGATTGTCATTGCCGAAGTCATAACGACTCCCAGCTTGAATACAGCATCGCTGATGATGCTGATGATCATCATCATGATGATTATCATCATCATCAGCAGCAGCATCATTGTCTTCTTCATCATCATCGGCAGCAGTAATAATGGCACGGTAGTCGATCTATTGAGACAGTCCTGGCGAAGACTTCTCCGATTATTGAAATACCAAAAATATTTGTTCTCTCCCTCTCATCCGTTGCGAGGTGTGGGGGGGGGGGGCTTGACTATACTTCACCACGCCGGTCGGTGCGGGTTCGCTGGAGGTCACGCGACACTCGGGGGGGTCGAGGAATCGAAAGGCGAGTTCCAAAAGACAAACGCGACACGGACTTCCACAATCGTGGAATGGGTTTGAACGCCACTTCTCTGTGGCCACGAGAGAGACCGCTGACAGCCACCCACGCAGAGGACACAAAACACCGATAATTACACTGGTCAAAAAAAAAAATTCTGGCCTGGACTTTTGCAGCTGTTCTAGACTAATTTCAGGGTGCTGATTCCAAATCTGATCTCAGATTTGCTCTATCACATCTAATTTTTATGCTATCGGCATACCCAATTTTCATTGATTATACCCGAAATTAATTCTGTCACTTATGATTGCAAGTTGTTGCGAGTCAGTGACTGCTTTAGTGTTAAAATATGGTGCTGTATTTTTAGGATAGTGTGTTTATAATATCATTTTATGTAGATATCCACATTCATTTAATATTTTTCTTCTGCAGTTTTTATTGAAAATGCAATATTTGATATCTCAAAAACCTGATGTGATAGACAAAAACTGATGGCCAGATTTGGAATCAGCACCCCAAAATTACATTTAAAAACCGTTGGAATGTCTTATGCCAGAAAAAGTGTGTTGACCAGTGTAATGATAACATTGATCGAATCGTGACAATGGAATCGTCATGGGGTTGGCCGAACGGTTACGGGTAACCGGTTTGACAATCGAATATTCGTTTCTCTCTCTCCTCCACCACACACCACGTGGTCGCCCCACAGCCTGCTGGGCCGGGCAGAGGCACCGCGGATTCAGCTGCCCAGTGGTCAGGTCAAGAGGTAGACGGGTGATGTCTATGACTGGCAGACGTTTCTGTACGTGTGGCAAACCGGTATTAACCGGTTTTTACGCGGTTACGTTACGGGTCACGTAAACAAAAGATTTTAATTCTGATCAAGAGGTCATGAATCGATGCCCCCCCCCCCCCCACCGTCACCAACAACCACCGCCCACATCTCGCCATCGCTCGCTCGCTCCCTTCTTGTGCTTGAGATGACGCCTCTCTCATCCAAGGGCTTCACGTCTCATGGAACAGCTTATAGAGCACCACCCCTCCCCCCTCCTCACAACAACGACAGCAGGGAGAGAGGAGGGGGGGGCGGTTGGGGCTTGGCACTTTTCCGGAGCACAGCCCCGGATAAGCGCGCATCTCCTGGCCGCAATATCGCCAAGTCAACTGGCCAACACTCGCGACTGCCAGGGCCTCTACACTCCCCACCCCCCTCCTCCTCGCTCTTACAATAGGCACACAGCGAGAATACAAAATACGAGTGATAATACTCTATATAATGCTGTTTATATATAAATATCTATAGACGATGCGTCATCATCACGACTCTTAACATGCTATATGTACATTTGTGTTATAACATCACTCTCGGAGCTTTTGTTCTGTAAACTTGCGCCGTTGGCTTTGAGCCCGGTGAGTTTTTGTAGTGCGACTTTGGGGGGTTTTCTCCATCGGAAGGCGACGAGAGAACATGTAAACCCCTTCTTCATCGGGTCCGCTCCCATCACGGGCAGTCCCGTACAGCCTGCGGTCTTCGTATAGATAGTCTATAAATCTGTGTATAGATACAGCCGATAAATCTTCATATATTTATGCGTGTACAAACAAAAAACAGCTACAGCAGCCCCCTGCAAGTGCTGGCTCACGCCACGAGCGGGAGCTCTAGGCAGCCACGGGGTGTAAATGGTATTTGGCCTACTCTTCCACTGTCCAAACATCTTCGGTGTGACGCTGTGTAATGATGTGTGTGTGAGTGCGTGTCTTATACTGGTTTCGTGTCCACCCTTCTTGGCAGAGTCAAGTGGGAGAGCGTTTGGAAAGAGGTGAACAGAAGGGCTGAGTGTTACTCCACACACTTTCACCCTCATCCTGGCTCCATCACCACCTCCTCCTTCCTCAATCCTCCACCTCCTCCTGCGACCAGAGGATGGACTTCCGAGACCTCTGCCAACAGAGGTCGCAGACCCAGGCGGTATAGAGGAGTGGTTCGGACGGCGTCGGGGTGGAGAGGCGAAGGACGAGAGGGTGGACAGGAGGCGAGGGATGGGTGGAGAGGCCGGTGATCAGGTAAGAATTTCTGGAGGTAGCGTGCTCGAGGTTGAAGGGAAGAGGTGGGTGGTGGTGGGGGGAGGAGAGGAGGGCGAGAGACGGGAGAGGGAGTGAGACGGGCGGTGGAGGTGGACGCCTTGCAAGAGTCGAGGAGGAGGAAGATGAGAATGGGTCGGACGAAGTGAAGTGAAGGGGGGGGGGGGGGGAGTGACAGGGAAAGATGCTGACGATGCTGATGACGAGGAGGAGAAGACCCGAGCCTCACATGTGCCTCTTCATGTGGAGGGCCAGGTGGTCGGAGCGCGAGAAGGCCCTCTCGCAAAGGTGGCACTGGAAGGGCCGGTGGCCCGTGTGCTTGCGGAAGTGCCGCGTGAGTTCATCGGAGCGTGCGAACTTCCAGCCGCACCCCTCCCAGTTGCACTGGTAGGGCTTCTCTCCTGCGGACAGCCACGGCGGGAGAGAGGGGAGGGGGTGGGTTAGAGGGCACCCGCAGAGGCTACGACACCCGGAGCAGACATCGACACGGAGAGCGTTGCGCGCACGTGCGCGTGTGTGTGCGTGTGTGTGTGTGTGCGTGCGTGTGTGTGCCTGTGTGTGTGCGTGCGTGTGTGTGCGTGTGTGTGTGCGTGTGCGTGTGTGCGCACACGTGCGTGTGTGCGTGTGTGCGCGCACGTGTGTGTGTGTGCGTGTGTTTATGGGGAGCGGTGGTGTAGCGGTTAGCGCACTGCACTACGAGCCTGGCGACCCGGTTTCAATTCCCGCTCACGGCAAACACCCAGTGACGATTATCTGAACCGGTCCTGGGCCTCCCCTAGGTCGACTCAGCTTCAAATGAGTACCTGGTGCGGTGTGTAAACATCGCCGCTAGGGAGACAAAGGCGGTCGTGCGTGGTGCTGGCCACCCACCCCCTCGTGTACCGTTCCGGCCTTCATAGGTGCTCGCTAACCGCACTTGCCCCTACAGTCTGTTAAGGCTATACGGGGGATCTTTGTTTGTGTTTAGTAAGTGTGAAACTCTTTCGCCTGGGCGATCCCGAGAGGGATGGATTTACAAATCGGCGTCCAGGGGTGTCAATTGACACACAGCAAACACTTTCATGTCACGGCCTATACACAAGTCAAAGATCGCCCGGGTAGCCTTCATACATGATGTTGGGGCAAGTGCTGTTCGCGAGGAGCACAGATGAAGGACCGGTACGGCACGTGCAGGGGATGGTTGGCTAGAACCACGCCCAGTCGCCTTTATCTCCCTGTTAGCGATGTTTTTACACAGCGCACCGGGTACTCGATTATCTGAACCGGTCCTGGGTTCAGAAAATCGTCAATGGTGTTGTCGTGGGGCGAATCGGACTCGGGTCGCCGGGTTCTGTAGCACCACAGCACGCTAACCACTACACCACCGCTCCCCGACAAACACGGACGCGACGCATAGGCACAGACGCGTATACACTCACACATACACAGCAAAAGGCATAACAACAACACGTATATTACACATGCGAATATATACACACACACACGCGCACACTTCATTTCCTGAACAGGTTTCCAGCACGTCGAGGCGAAACGTCGGACAACACGCAGTAGAACTGCGACAACACAACGGATAACTGAACAGACAACAAAGACAAAGATCACCCGTATAGCCTTCACAGGCTGTAGGGACAAGTGCTGTTGAGCGAGGCCAGCACCACGCCCGACCGCCTTTGTCTCCCCAGTGACGATGTTTACACAACGCACCAGGTACTATTTGAGGCCCAGGACCGGTTCAGATAATCGTCACTGTTGGTGTTGGCCGTGAGCGGGAATCGAACTCGGGTCGCCAGTTGCGTAGCGCAGCGTAGCGCGAACGAATACACTACCGCTCCCCATACCTACACAACCACCCACCCAGCCACACACACATCCACCCACACACATAACCACCCACACACACACACCCCCACACACATCCACCTACCCAGCCACAAACACACATCCACACAGCTACACACACACACACAACCACCCACCAAGCCACGCAAAAACCACCAACTCAGCCACACACACACATAGACCCACACACAACCACCATCCCAGTCACACATCCACACAACCACCCACCCACCCAGCCACACACACAACCAGCCACATACACACAACCACCCACCTAGCCACACAACCACCCACCGACCCACACACACAACCACCCACCCAGCCACACACACAACCACCCAGTTACGCACACACACAACCACCCAACCACACACACACACACAACCACCCACCCAGCCACACACACACACAACCAACCACCCACCCAGCCACACACACACACAACCACCCAGCCACACCCACACACAACCACCCACACGCACACACACAACCACCCAGCCACACCCACACACAACCACCCACCCACACACCCACCCACCCAGCCACACACACACACCCACCCAGCCACTCACCCACACACCCACCCACCCAGCCACACACACCCACCCACCCAGCCACCCACCCACACACCCAGCCACCCACCCACACACCCACCCACACACCCACCCACACTCACATCCACCCACACACAACCACCCACCCACACACACACCCACCTACCCACACACACTCACACCCACCCACCCAGCCACACACACTCACATCCACCCACCCGGCCCCTCACCCGTGTGCGTCCTCAGGTGAGCCTTGAGGTGCGAGCTCTTGGTGTAGGTCTTCCCGCAGCCGGGGTACTCGCACGTGTGAGTCGCCGTGCGCTTCCGGGCGCCCCATGACCTGCGGCCTCTCTTGCCGGGCCCCACTTTACCCTCCGTCTGGGGGGCCAGGGGGGCCGCCTGCGCGGGGGGGCAACACGGAGCCCCCCCCGGGGGGACGAACATCGCCACGGCGTCCAGCACGGACGGGGAGGAGGGTGGTGTGACCAGCGTCTGGTGGTGCTGCTGATGATGATGATGCTGATGATGATGCTGCTGCTGCTGATGATGTCCGTGATGGTACAAGATGTTGAATTGCCCTTGGAAGTGCATCCCTTGTTGTTGCTGCTGCTGCGGATGCTGCTGCTGCTGAAGTTGCTGCTGCTGCTGATGATGATGCTGCGCTTGCTGCTGGTGACTGTATAAGCGTCCAAATGCACCTGGGAAGCGGTGGTGCATCGGGAAGTGCTGCTGCTGATGTTGCTGCTGTTGCTGCTGTTGTTGTTGCTGTCCGTGGTGCTGTAGGTGAGAGTGGTGCTCCTCCGAAAGAGACAATGGGTAAATGTGTCCGCCCTTAGAGGGCTGCTGATGCTGCTGCTGCTGCTGATGATGATGCTGCTGCTGCTGATGCAGCCGATGTTGAACCTTACTGGACTCGGCAGACTCGTCAGCCATGAAGCACGCGTGCGAGTCGGCACCTCCAGGCCCAGCTGGATTGTGCTCCCGCTTAATGTTCTGCCCCAGCTGCTGAATGTGAGTGAGAGGGATGAGCCTTTGGCTCTGCTGCTGCTGCTGATGATGATGCTGATGATGCTGTTGCTGATGCTGCTGATGCTGGAGCTGATGATGATGATGATGTGAGAGATGCGGGTCAACGTGTGGTCCCGCGTAAATGTGTCCTCCCTTCGCAGCGGGCGGCTGCTGCTGCTGCTGCTGATGATGCTGCTGCTGCTGCTGATGCAACTGCAAGTCGTGCGTCTTGTCGGGAGAGAAGTGAGCGCCGTCCCCGTGGCCCAGAAAGCCACTGCCAGAGAAGTCGAGGTCGGGGGTGAGCAACTCTTCCACGAGGCTGGGGCAAGGCTTGGCCTGGAACGCGTCCACCCCGCACGCAGCCACGTACACAGAGTCCCGACTCTCAAATCCTGTGGCCCCAGCACCACCACCACCACCACCAGCGGCACCGCCGTTGGTACAACTTTCAGGCGTCTCCGGCAGCGTGTAATTGGCGGAGGAGGAGGACGCAGACGCAGCGGCGATGGAGGATGTGGAGGAGGCGGAGGAGGTGATCAAGGCACCCACAGCGGTGATGTGGTTCGGTGCGCACCCGATCGGCGCGTCGCTCGAGGAGGTAGCGGCGGCAGCGCAGAAGCCGGCGGCGCGGGGCGGTGACCCCGCGGTGAAGGCGGCGGGCGTGGGACTCGAGCAGTCGGCGTGCTGCATGCTGTTGGAGAGGATGAAGTCGATGTCCAGAAGCTTGCCCAGGTCCTCGTCGTCCCTCCGGGGTTGAGGAGTCACCCTCCAAGTCTGTGGGCGGAGGAGTGGGGTGGGGTGGGTGAGGGGGGTTGACATCGGCGCACGAGCGCTGAGTTTGGTGTCGGCGTGGGAGGTTTTGGGGCGTTGTCTGTGTGTGTGTCAGTTCGTGTGTGTCGGTTCGTGTGTCAGTGTGTGTGTGTCAGTGTGTGTGTGTCAGTGTGTGTGTGTCAGTTCGTATGTGTCGGTTCGTGTGTCAGTGTGTGTGTGTCAGTGTGTGTGTGTCAGTGTGTGTGTGTGTCAGTGTGTGTGTGTCAGTATGTGTATCAGTTCGCGTGTGTCGGTTCGTGTGTCAGTGTGTCAGTGTGTGTGTCAGTGTGTGTGTTTGTATGGGGAGCGGTAGTGTAGTGGTTAGCGCTACACTGCGCTATGAACCCGGCAATCCGGGTTCGATTCCCGCTCACGGCCAACACCAGTAGTGACGATTATCTGAACCGGTCCTGGGCCTCCCCATAGGTCGACTCAGCCTCAAATAAATACCTGGTGCGGTGTGTAAACATCGTCACTAGGGAGACAAAGGCGGTCGGTGTGGTGCTGGTCACCCACTCCCTCGTGTACCGTTCCGGCCTTCATAGGTGCTACTCGCTAACAGCACTTGCCCCAACAGTCTGTTAAGGCTATACGGGGATCTTTGTGTGTGGGGAGCGGTGGTGTAGTGGTTATCGCACGGCGCTACGAATCCCGGCGATACGAGTTCAATGTCCCGTGATAGTGGCGAATATTTGAGTAGGTCCTGGACCTCTCCAAGGTCGGCTCAGCCTTAAATATATACCTGCAACGATATGTAAAACTTCAGCACTGGGAGACAAAAGCGGCCGGGTGTGGTTTTGACCACTTCACCCCCTCGCGTGCCATTGCCGTCCTTCTCATGTGCTCGTTAACAGCACTTGCTCCTACAATCTGCCCAGGCTACACGGGGGATCTTTGTCTTTTGTTTATGTGGGTGTGTCTCTGTGTGTATGGGTGTACGCATGTGTGTGAGTATGTGCAAGGCGTATGTTACGTGTCTGTGTGTCTTTTTTGTACGAGTGTGCGCGTATAAAATGTGCCGGTGAGTATACGTTGTGATGTGTGTATGATCATATATGAGGAGCGGTGGCGCAAGTGGTTGGCGCATCGCGCTACAACACGTGGCCAACGCCAGTGGCGAATATCTTAACATGTTCTGGGCCTCCCTTAGGTAGACTCGAACCTCAATCGAGTAGCTGGTGCGGTGTGTAAAGATAGGGGATACAAAGGTGGAGAGGCGTGGTGTTTGCCCCCTCGGCCTCCAAAAGGTGCTCGCTAGCAGCACTTGCCCCAAGTCTGTTGAAGACTATACGGAGGATCTTTGTCTTCGTGTATGTATGTCAACGCTATACGTTTGCTTTGTTTGTGTAAGAGTATATGATGTGTGTGTGTGCGCGCGCGCGTATGATTGAGTACGTGATGAGAGCCTCCCGTTCGTCTGTGTGTGTCTGTGGTTTTGGGCATTACTGTGTCTGTCTGTGTGTGGGGAGCGGTGGGGCAAAGGCGACCGAGCGTGGTGCTGGCCACCCACCCCCTCGTGTGTCGTGCCGGCCTTCATGGGTGCTCGCTAACAGCACTTGCCCCAACAGTCTGTCACAGGCTGTTCGGGGGATCTTTGTCTTTGGAGCGGTGGTGTAGCGGTTAGCGCGCTCCGCTACGAATCCGGCTACCCGAGTTTGATTCCCGCTCACGGCCATCACCAGGTGACGATTATCTGTACCGGTTCTGGGCCTTCCCTAGGTCTACTCGGCCTCAAACGAGTACCTGGTGCGATGTGTAGGCATCGCCACTGGGGAGACAAAGGCGGCCCACGCAATCGTGTGCCGTGCCGGCCTTCATAGGTGCTCGCTAACAGCACTTGCCCCAATAGTCTGTTAACAATATACGGGGGATCTTTGTCTTTGTGTGCGGTGTATGTCAATGTGTTTGATTGTGCATGTGCCGACTTTCATAGGCGCTTGCAAACTGCACTTGCCCCAAACGTCTGTCACCGCTATACGGGAGACCTTTGTCTTTGTTGTGGTCTTTGTGTTCTGTGTGTGTATGTGTGTGTGTCTTTGTCGGCTGTATGGATTATTCGCACGCGCAAAAAAAAACCCAGCGAAAAACCAACAGTGGCAATAATAAAAAAAGGTTAAAAAAGGCGGTGCAGGTGATGTTGTTAACCCAAAAAAATAACAATGTATGTTCAACACGGATTGATCAATCAATTAAACAAAGCACACTAATTACAATTACAGATGTTAAACTGAGTGTTCAAAAAAACATGCTTGTTTTTGCGTTGCGCGTGTGTGCGTGTATGTGTGTGTGAGAGTGTGTGTGAGAGTGTGAATGTGTGTTTATGTGTGAATGTGTGTGTTTGTGTGTGAATGTGTGTGTGAATGTGTGTTTGTGTGTGAGAGTGTGTGTGTATTGTGTGTGAGAGTGTGTTTGTGTGTGAATGTGTGTGTTTGTGTGTGTGTTTGTGTGTGTATGTGTGTGAATGTGTGTATTGTGTGTGAATGTGTGTGCGTGTTTGTGTGTGAATGTGTGTTTGTGTGTGAATGTGTGTGTGCATTGTGTGTGAATGTGTGTTTGTGTGTGAATGTGTGTGTGTATTGTGTGTGAATGTGTGCTAGTGTGAATATGTGTGTTTGTGTGTGAATGTGTGTGTTTGTGTGTGAATGTGTGTTTGTGTGTGAATGTATGTATGTATTGTGTGTGAATGTGTGTGCTTGTGTGCTACTATTGGGGAGCGGTAGTGTAGCGGTTAGAGCGCTTCGCTACGAACTTGGCGAACCGGGTTCGATTCCCGCTCACGGCCGACACCAGTGACGATTATATGAACCGGTTCTGGGCCTCCCCTAGATCGACTCAGCCTCAAATGAGTACCTGGTGCGGTTCCTAAAAACATTCTCACTGGGGAGACAAAGGCGGCCGGAGGTGGTGCTGGCCACCCACCCCTCGTTGTACCGTTCCGGCCTTAATAGGTGCTCGCTAACAGCACTTGCCCCAACAGACTGTTAAGGCTATACGGTATATCTTTGTCTTTGCTACTTTTTGCGTGTACTGTACCACGGCTGCTGGCTCCTGCTGCTGTTGCTGCTGCTGATAATTGCGTGAATATTGTGAACACAAACACACACACACGCACGCGCACACACACACGCGCACACACGCACGCACGCACACGCACGCGCACACACACACACACGCGCACACACGCACACACGCGCACACACGCGCACACACGCACGCGCACACACGCACACACACACACACGCGCACACGCACGCGCACACACGCACGCACGCGCACGCACACACGCACGCACGCGCGCACGCACACACACACACGCGCACGCACGCGCACACACACACACACGCGCACACACACACGCGCACACGCGCACACACACACACACGCGCACACACACACACACGCGCACACACGCACGCACACACACACACGCACACACACACACGCGACCCGTGCCCCTGAGTCAACCCACAATGGGCAGTCTGTTGGTCGGGGAGGCCGGTCCTGGCGGGCTTTACAGAACACGTTCACCGGTGTTGCGTGTCAATTCATAAGGGCCAGTACAAAGTGCTGCTTGCATTTCTGCCCGAGACCCAAATGGGAAACAGTTGTTGGCGACTATGAAGCGTCTTTGTTGCTTATCAATGTAGCACATACACCATACAAGCGCGGCGCGTAATGCGATAATTGTACACACGCGCCGAGACTTGCGCGGACACACGCAAAACAAAGACCCCCCCCCACCACCCACACCCACCCACCCCCCCCTAAAGCCTGAACACACTTTTAGGGCAAGTGCTGTTAGCCGAGCACCTTTGAAGGCCGGCACGAGCGGGTGTGGTGACCAGAGTTTACACGCAAGATTCTCCCACTCATTCGATGAGGCCGAGTTGGTTCGGGGGGGGGAGACTCACGTCGGTTCAGATGATCGTTAGCGATGTCGTCGCGTGAACGGAGATTCCGAATCAAAGTCGCCGGGTTTCTAAGCGCAGCGAGTTAACCCCGACGCTACCGCTCCCCGCGCGCGCACACAAACTTAAGACAAAGATCCCCCTTCTTGGTTCTTTCGGTAAAGTCACGTAGAAGGGAAATAATACAATAATAAAAATAAAACAGAATAAAATAATATAGTATATTAATATAATTTAACAATATAATAAAATTTTAAAAAATGTCTTACTGTTATTTCATTATGTTTAATTTTTATTATTTTATTATTTCCCTTCTACGTGACTTTACCGAAAGAACCAAGAAGATGAATCCCTGCAGTCACGAAAGCTTCACATCGAAACAAAGATCCCCCTTACACAGCCGCGAACAGACTGTTGGGGTGTGTAAGTGCCCCCCCTCCCCCCCCCCCGTGTATGAAGGTCGGAACGGTACCACGCCCGGCCGCCTTTATCTCCCCAGTGCTGATGCTTCACAACGCCGTAATCATCTGCTCATGGAAGGTTGGCCCAGGACCGGTTCAACTTTACGTGAGCGCGAATCGAATTCGAGTAGCCGGGTTCATCGATACACATCAGTGCACCACTTTGTCGTGCAAGGCAACAGCGGTAAACAAAAATTATACGGGATCAACTGGCCCTCGCCATAGGAATGTGGAATTTGCACTTCTGGTTTAGTGTTGCAAGCAGGAGTTGAGCACCACAGAAAATCAGCGTTACACCCTCGTCCTCTACTGCTGGATTGAAAATCGATGATACGCCGTGACGGGTATTCCAACGGAATCATCATCTTTGTCGGGCGGCTAAATCCATACTAAAGTGACCCAAGTATGACACGTGTATGCGCACCGGCTCGTAGACTCTGTCTCTATGTAGTTCGGCGCTTACTAACAGCACTTGCCCCAACAGCCTATTGAAGGCTATACGAGGGATCTTTATCTTGTGTGTCTGTGTGTCTGCGTTCGTGTGGCGGCAAACGCGCTGCCGATGATGATGTCATTGGCCATTCCAATTCCTCAATTACTCTCCGCGCACGAGTTAGCGCCTGAGATTGAACTCTGATCACTTGTGTGTGTTTACCTGTGTGCGTGTCTACCTGTGTGTGTGTCTACCTGTGTGTGTGTGCCTGTGTGTGTTTACCTGTGTGTGTCTACCTGTGTGTGTCTAGCTGTGTGTTTACCTGTGTGTGTCTACCTGTGTGTGTGTCTACCTGTGTGTGTCTACCTGTGTGTGTGTCTACCTGTGTGTGTCTACCTGTGTGTGTGTCTACCTGTGTGTGTGCCTGTGTGTGTCTACCTGTGTGTGTGTACCTGTGTGTGTCTACCTGTGTGTGTTTACCTGTGCGTGTCTACCTGTGTGTGTTTACCTGTGTGTGTGTCTACCTGTGTGTGTCTACCTGTGTGTGTTTACCTGTGTGTGTCTAGCTGTGTGTTTACCTGACTGTGTTTACCTGTGTGTGTGTGTACCTGTGTGCGTCTACCTGTGTGTTTACCTGTGTGTGTCTACCTGTGTGTGTCTACCTGTGTGTGTGTCTACCTGTGTGTGTCTACCTGTGTGTGTGTCTACCTGTGGGGAGCGGTAGTGTAACGGTTAACGCGCTGCGCTACCAACATCAGCGACGATTATCTTAACCGGTTTTGAGCCTCCCCTAGGTCGACTCAGCCTCAAATGAGTACCTGGTGCGGTGTGTAAACATCGCCACTCGGGAGACAAAGGCGGCCGGGCGTGGTGCTGGCCACCCACCCCCTCGTGTGCCGTGCCGGCCTTCATAGGTGCTCGCTAACCGCATTTGTTAAGGCTATACGGGTGATCTTTGTACATGTGTGCGCCTCTGTGTGTGTGTGTACACCTGTACGGGTTTTAGAGAGAGAGTGAGAGACAGAGGAAAGTCGTCTAGATGGGAGAGGGAAGAGAGAGAGAAGGGGAGGAGGAGAGGGAGATGATTTTAGAGGAAAGGGAGCGCGACTGCACAGTTGCACGTACCCATCCACCCTCCCATCCACCCTCGCATCCACCATTCGTCCTTCCACTCACAAATCCACCCATCCATACATCTCTCCATTCAGCCACTCATCGATCCACCGACCCATCTATAATTCTAGATTCGAAGCTTTCGTGACTTGCAAGGATTCATACTCTTTTTTTTCGGTAAAGTCACGTAGGTAAAATATCAAATAAAATAAATGAAAACAACCAAATTAAATCACGACGTTTCGGGCGCAACACAAGCGTCCTTCCATCTATACATTAATTTACTAATTCACGTGTCTCTCCTTCCATTTATACACCCAACTAATTCATCCATCCACCCACACAGAAATCCCAACGTGCATCCAAACATACATCCGTAAAGATCTCCATTATTCCATCCACCCATTGATTACTTATTCAACCGAACTACCCAACCCACCCATCAACCCATCCGTGCATCCATCAGTCGGCGCGCCTACCCACCCATCAACTCACCCATCCGTTCATCCACTCATCCGTCTCTCCATCCATCCACGCTCCTCTCAACCCGCAGGTTATATAGAACTTCTTTCGCACCGTACGCGGCCACACGTGTTAATCGTCCGCCTCTCACTCGAGTCACGAGCCGCATGGCTCACAGGGTTATACCCAATCAATGAAACTGAAAACTGAAAACTCTCCGTCTCTCTCACACGAGCCACGCGCGGCACTCACGTTCATAATGTCCGCGCAGTTGCTGTCCAGTAGTCCGCACGAGAGCGCGAAACTCGAGATGGAAGGCAGTCCAGAGGCCACTAGAGCCATGACCCGCAATGGGCCTCCTTCGGCGCTCGCCCCTTTCCCGCTGCCAGCTTCTCCACGCAGCCGATGAGTCAGTCAGTAAGCCAGCCAGCGAGAGATCCACCGAGCCAGCGAGTGAGTGAGCCACTCCACCGCTAAGACGGCGAGCGAGTGAGCGAGTGAGCCACTCAGCCGCTTAGTGACCGGCGACTCCGGGCCGGCAAGTCAAGTAAGCGAGCCCCAACTCAAAACTTTTGACAAAGCGAATTGAGCTTCAGCTCAGCACACCCCCCACCGTGCGCGCGCGCGCGCGTGCGTCTCTCTCCGACTCTCTCGCGCGCAGCCGGTGGAGCTGCAAGCCGAGCGAGAGTGGGTGGGTGGCTGGTGGTGGTGGTGGTGGGGGGGAGACGGATCGAGCGAGTTGTGAGCCGTGGCCCGCTCGCCGCTGCCTCCTTTATAACAAGCGCCCCGCGCCCCCTCCATTGGCTCGGCGGAGTCCTCGCAATCGCGGGGGCCGTCTCGGCCAGGACCAATTGGCGCGCGGCGGGGGAGAACAGGAAACTTCGCGCTCTCTCTCAGCAAGCCAGCTAAATTTAGGAGGCGTATAAAGGGAAACGAGAGCTTGGCCGAGCAGCGTCGAGAGCGCCGCGCGAAGAACAAGCGACTCCTTTTGGGACGGACGCACGCACGCACGCACGAGGTGGTGGTGCTGGAGGTGGTGGTGGAGGTGGTGGTGGTGGTTGTTCAGGCGCCTCCTCTGCCGACGACGCCGCCGCTACCGTCCCGAAGCGCGTCACGTGGCACGCGGCAGCAGCAGCGGCAGCAGCAGCAGCAGCGGGCAAAGGGAGCGGAGAGAGTCGTGGGGCATTGGCCACGCTCATTATTCATGGACGGGGGGCGGGGGGAGCTGGGGGGTTAGGGGGGTGGGGGCCCGGTTAGTTGATGGGAGAGCAATTGGGTGGGTTCGAGTGCTGGGGGGAGACGATATATAAATGCATTTATTATGCCACGATCAAATATTTATGTAACAGGGGACGTTTCGGGCAACGGGCCCTGTTCCTACTGCTAGTAAAAGAAGGCCTATGTGCCCGAAACGTCGCCTGTTGTGTAAATGTATAAAAGTCTTTAATGATGTATTATCGTGCGACAGAGTTTGTAGATGAGTTACGAAGCAATATGTAATCGATCATAACACACGTCCCTTTGAGGCCACTGTCAATGTAATGGACTCCCTGGCGCTGTGCGATTAAAGACGCGTGGCGCCAGACGGGACCACGTGTTCAGCGTAATGGGAGTTGAACTCATGTTTGGATGCTGCTGCTGCTGCTGCGTTGACAGCGGTGCACAAGCACAGCCAACAACAGCAGCAACTCGACTCGTTCCTCAGCACCACCAGCACCACCACCACCACTGTGGCCTCAAGGGTACACGATACATATCAAGCGACGTTTCGGACAACGGTCCCTTGTGCAGGACAGAGCGATTGGAGAGGCTGGAGAGTCGTGGTTGGAGACTGCACCGCACACCACACGCACACTGGGGCCCTGGTGCAATGTTGGGGGTGTAGTGGGGGGCTGAACCCCCCCCCCTAACCCACCCCCCCACCTCCACTTCTAAATTTGTAACGTTAACATTATTATTAAGATTACTTAACATTGACGTCACACCCCCCCCCCCCCCGCCCTCTCCGTGCCCCCCTTTTGAACGAGTTACGCTACCGGGTTTGTTCGTGTGGACCGTGGTAGCGAGCAGCACTTGCCCCTAACAGCTTGTCGAGGCTATACGGGGCTTCTTCGTCTTTGCTTTTGGAGCGGCGGCGTCTCAGCCACCACCCTGACGAGCCGAGTCTTGGCCAAGGGCAACATCGGCGGGCCATCGATACTTGAACCGGTCCACGGTCAACTTAGCCGAGTACCCGGTGGAATGTGTGGAGATCAGACCGGGGAAGACAAATGCGGTCGAGCGTGGCGTACCGGCCACACCAGACTCGAGTGCGTCGTGCCCGGCCTTCGTAGGTGCTCGCGAAGGGCCACTTGCTCCCATCGGCCTGTGCGGCTATAGGAGGGACGTCTTTGTCTTTGTGAGTGGAGAAGTTGTGGGTGGGTAGGGTGAGCTCCTGGTGGGGGACGTGGATTAGGGTGAGTGGGGTGAGTGGGGTGAGTGGGGTGGGATGGTGAGTGGGGTGGTTGGGTGAGTGGGGTGGTGGGGTAGTTGGGTGAGTGGGGTGAGTGGGGTGGCAGGGTGAGTGGGGTGGCAGGGTGAGTGGGGGAGTTTGGTGAGTGGGGTGGCAGTGTGAGTGAGGTGGTGATGTGAGTGGGGTGAGTGGGTTGGTGGGGGAGTTGGGTGAGTGGGGTGAGTGGGGTGAGTGGGGTGAGTGGGTTGGTGGGGGAGTTGGGTGAGTGGGGTGAGTGGGGTGAGTGGGGTGAGTGGGATGGCAGGGTGAGTGGGGTGAGTGGGGTGAGTGGGGTGAGTGGGTTGGTGGGGGAGTTGGGTGAGTGGGGTGAGTGGGGCGAGTGGGGTGAGTGGGGTGAGTGGGATGGCAGGGTGAGTGGGGTGAGTGGGGTGAGTGGGTTGGTGGGGGAGTTGGGTGAGTGGTGTGAGTGGGGTGAGTGGGGTGAGTGGAGTGGCAGGGTGAGTTGGGTGGTTGAGTGAGTGGGGTGAGTAGGGTGGCAGGGTGAGTGGGGTGGTAGGGTGAGTGGGGTCAGTGGGGTGAGTGGGGTGGTATGGTGAGTGGGGTGAGTGGGGTGGCAGGGTGAGTGGGGTGAGTGGGGTGAGTGAGGTGGTTGGGTGAGTGGCGTGGCAGGGTGAGTGGGGTGAGTGGGGTGAGTGGGGTGGTTGGGTGAGTGGGGTGAGTGGGGTGAGTGGGGTGGTAGGGTGAGTTGGGTGAGTGGGGTGAGTGGAGTGGCAGGGTGAGTGGGGTGAGTGGGGGGAGGGGGGTGGTAAAGTGAGTTGGGTGAGTGGGGTGAGTGGGTGGCAGTGTGAGTGAGGTGGTGATGTGAGTGGGGTGAGTGGGTTGGTGGGGGAGTTGGGTGGTTGGGTGAGTGGGGTGAGTGGGGTGGCAGGGTGAGTGGGGTGGCAGGGTGAGTGGGGTGGCAGGGTGAGTGGGGTGAGTGGGGTGGTTGGGTGAGTGGGGTGGTGGGGTGAGTGCGGTGAGTGGGGTGAGTGGGGTGAGTGACGTGGTGGTGTGAGTGGGGTGAGTGGGGTGGTGGTGTGAGTGGTGTGAGTGGGGTGAGTGGGGTGGCAGGGTGAGTGGGGTGAGTGGGGTGACAGGGTGAGTGGGGTGGTAGGGTGAGTGGGGTGGTAGGGTGAGTGGGGTGGTAGGGTGAGTGGGGTGAGTGGGGTGGTTGGGTGAGTGGGGTGAGTGGGGTGGCAGGGTGAGTGCGGTGGCAGGGTGAGTGGGGTGAGTGGGGTGGCAGAGTGGGGGATCGGGAGTGGTGATTGTTGAGGGCTCCGCAATTATCGGCTTAATTCGCCGGGTTACCCTCCCACCCCCATCCCCCCACCCCCCCGCATTAATTGTATCCGGAATCTCGACTCGATCCCGGATGCCGCTCTGGTGTCTGTGGCTCTCCTGGTCTCGGCTCACGCGACGCCGGTCGGAGTCGCGTGTGAACGAGGGTCGAGGGGCTCCCGCAGATCCAACAGCGCTCTGAAATCATTCGCCGGCTGGGTTCGCTCCATTGCGCGAGATGCCGAGAATGTGACGCGCATCGGAGACCCATAGCCCCACCTAGAGACCCAAAGACTCAAGTAGAGACCCATCGACTCACATAGAGACCCATAGACTCACATAGAGACCCATAGACTCACACAGAGACCCATAGACTCACATAGAGATCCATAGCCCCACCTAGAGACCCATAGACTCACCTAGAGACCCAAAGACTCAAGTAGAGACTCATAGACTCACACAGAGACCCATAGACTCACACAGAGATCCATACACTCGCACAGAGACCAATTGACTCACATAAAGACCCATAGAATCACATAGAGACCCATCGACTCACATAGAGACCCATAGACTCACATAGAGACCCATCGACTCACATAGAGACCCATAGACTCACATAGAGACCCATAGACTCAGATAGAAACCCACAGACTCAAGTAGAGACCCATAGACTCACATAGAAACCCATAGACTCACACAGAGACCCATAGACTCACATAGAGACCCATCGACTCACATAGAGACCCATAGACTCACATAGAGACCCATAGACTCACACAGAGACCCATAGACTCACATAGAGACCCAAAGACTCAAGTAGAGACCCATAGACTCACATAGAAGCTGATAGACTCACATAAGAGACGCATGGACTCACATAGACGCCAATAGACTCACATAAGAGACCATAGACTCACATCGACGCCAATAGACTCACATAAGAAACCCATGGACTGACGTAGAAGCTCATAGACTCACATAAGAGACCCATGGACTCACATAGTGAGTTGTGTGGCGAGTTTATGTCCTCGTCACCCGCCCCACCACTCCTCTCAACAGCTCCGCCCGATATCAGAGGCACTCTTCACCTGTCTCGTGCTATAGCAGCAGCGGCAGCAGCAGCATCATCATCACCGTGTTCCTGGAGCTCGAGCCCAACGTGGAGGTCCTGCTGCCAGCCACGACAAGAGGGCTTCAGCAGGCAGAGAGAAAGAGAGGGAGACAGTTCGTGTGGTTGTTGCTGCTACTCCTCCTACCCTCGAAGGAACGCAGACCACAGTGGAGCTCCCTACGTGCTCTATCGCAGTGCCGGACGAAGCGAGTGCAGGGCCTGTAGCAAATGATGTTGTTGTTATAAAGGTGCCCTGAATAAAAAAAACACGTAAATATGAAAACACCAATTTTTGACTCGCACAATAAAGTAATTTAATGTTTTTACTTGCTATACGGCCGGATAATACGACAAATCGCTAAACGTAAACACTCAGTCGTTCATAAAAGTTGAAGGCGGTATAGTACTATTGTAATAGAGCAAGTGCAGAATCACTGAAGCGGAATTGATAGCTTGAAAGCATTTAGCGCGGGGCCCTTGAAAGTGCGGGGCCCGTAGCTACTTCTACACGTGTAGTAACTGCTACACGTGTAGTAGTAGCTACTACATATGTAGTGACTACTACACGTGTAGTAGTAGCTACTACTACTACTATTATCCTAGTAGCAAAAGTAGCTACATATGTAGTAGCGTGTAGTAGCTACTACATATGTAGCTACTTTTGCTACTAGGATAATCCATCACTGGTCCATAGCTTGGGTTGCGTGGCTCACAATCACGCTGATTCTTCTTGTACCTTTCATTCCCCATTGATGTGGATGAGCGGTGGGGTGGCGGTTAGCGCGCGGCGGTACGAATTCGACGATCCTCTGAA